ACCTAGTTCGCCGAACTGAGGCCTGACGAACGCAAAACATAGGGCATTGCATTTGCTGTGTCGTGGTTGCCTTGCATCTGCGCCATGTACGCAGCATTTTGCTTGTTGCCGACGTAAGAAACTACGTTCAATCAATTTCAAAAATCGCTGCGCATATTTGATCTCAAAGCGCGTGCCCAGTGTCGCTGCAACGTTTTTCAGACCCCACGCGGTATCCAAACTTGACGCGCCAGGGCTTAAGCCTGTCGCCTGGGCCAACCACGCTATGGGCATCTGGGAACTGCTCGCTTGGGCGGCGTGCCTCCGACAGCTTCATCTTCGCACGTGATGCGGAAAATGGTCAGAAGGCTATAGCGCAAGGGCTCAGAAGAATCGGCTGCGCTGAAAGGCCACGCATCACACGCAGGTGCCAACACATGCAGGCAGCGGTACTGTAGCCAGCTGTGCGGTATCCGCTGCCCACAGCAGTCTCAAACTGCAACTTGCTGTAAACATCATTCAGTTTGCGGCGAAGCTCAGCGGCAGAGCACCTAAGCCTGTCGTCATCTGAGCCCGTCACTTGGAGATGGCTTGCTTTGGCACGTGCGGAAACTTCGGTGCTGTCGGTGACAGAAAGCAAGGGCATCATACGCAAAAAGCCCGAGCACAAGAAAAAAGCCACCAGTGCTGTAGCCAGTTGTACGTCTGCTGCCCGCAGCAGTAGTCTGATGCTGAAACCTGGCGGAATGTTCTAAGAACAGCCGCTCTCGTTTGGCCCAAGCTCTCTGCGCTCTGCTCAAGCCAAAGGACGACGCCCCTTGCAACCGAATCTTGCACTCCTCCTAAGACTGGACATGCGCCAATACCTGGCTGCGCAGCAAGCTTTTGCAGCTAAGGTAGACAAAGACAGCATCACTAAGTTGGATACCAATCCTCGCCACAGCCTTGACAGAGCAAGGAAAGGGAAGCTTCGGCGACGCCGGTGCTGCAAGGCAAGGCATCCAACTAGGGTGTGATCGCGTGTGCAAGCAAGTACTACTGTGTCTGCCAACCACAGCAACAGTCTGCAGCCGAAGCTTGCCACGAAGTTCTGGGCACAGCCAAGCTGCTTGGGTCCAACGGCTGCGTACTTTGGTCAAGTCAAGGCAAGGCAATGCTCCTCATGTGCCATCCAATGCTACTCCTGGCAAGAATTACAAACCTCATTCCAAGCTCTCGGCAAGCCGAGACGCTGAGGTGCGCAAGCGCTAAAATGGGCCTCGGCCTTGATAGCTGCTTCGCTGGAAGGCTTCGCAAGGCTTAGTTCCAAACACTGGCAACTTTGCGGCTGCAGGCACCATAAAGCTTTGGGAACAGCCAGGTCGCTTGGCATCAACATCACTTGCTGGCAATGTCCTTGCAAAGTAGTGCAGTCCAAGCAGCGCCGGCGCCCTCTATGCCCTCTCAACTCAAGCCGCGGGTCTGGTCACAACACGGAACTTACCCAAGTGCAGGCTCTTGAAAGCAGTTGAGTCAAATCAAGATTTCATCATTCACCCCCAGCGTGCGCCACAGCCTCGAAAGAGTCAGGGCTGGAAGCTGGCGATGCTGGCGCTGCAATTCAAGGCGTCCAACTCAGCCAGGAGCACTGTGTCTGCCAGCCACAGCACTCTGCAGCTGAAGCTTGTCACAAAGCTCTGGGCACAGCCAAGCTGGCTGGGCCCAGCGGCTCCGTTCTTTGCTCAACTCAAGGCAACAGGGCGTGCCTCAGACTGCCATCGAATGAGCCTCACGCAAAGCAGTTTGAGCACGACATTCGGATTTTTAGACTTTCTTGGCAAGCTGACCAAAGGTGCAACCTCTTGTGAGCAAGCAAATGCCAGAGCAAGTCTGCATCAGCGAATTGATGCCCAACACGTGTCAGGCTTTAAAGCGTAAGGGCTGGGAAGCAGCGCTGCCGCCGGCGCTGCCATGCGGAGCCGTGGCTGGCAATCACAGCAGCCGTCTAGCTGAAACTCTGGCTGGGTCCAACGGCAACACGCTTTGCTCAAGTGAGGGCAGCACGATGCTTCTATTGCCACTCCTGGCAGTAGGCTCATTCTGTGCAGCCTAATATCAAGGCAGAATTCTGGAACAACAGGCTGGGACTCTCAGGTGTGTGAAGGCTGGCAGGCTCAGTCTTGTCAGCCACTATGGCAAGCTGCGAACGGCAAGTTGCGTAGCCGGAACTCCGAAAAGCTCTGGGCACAGCCAGGTCGCTTGGCGTCAGCGGCGTCAGCATCACTTGCTGGCGGCTATGTCCTTGCAAAGCACTGCCTCCAAGCAGCGCCAGCGCCCTCTCAATTCCAGCCGCTGATCTAGTCGCTTTACGAAACTTACCCAAAGCACAAGCTCTTGCAAGCTACATTGCGCGCCAGCCACCAAGGCAACTGCTAGATCAAGCTGCGTAAGAAACACACCCCCAGCGCGCGCCACAGCCTTGGAAGCGTCAGGGCTGGAAGCTGGCGATGCTGGCGATGCAAGGCAAGGCGTCCAACTCAGCCAGGAGCACTGTGTCTGCCGGCCACAGCACTCTGCAGCTGAAGCTTGTCACAAAGCTCTGGGCACAGCCAAGCTGGCCACGCCCAACGGCTCAATTCAAGGCAGCGTTCGACGCTCCTCAGATTGTCGTTTAACGCGCCTCGAGCCTCGAGCACAGCAGTTTAGACACGATATTCGCGGAAGCTGACAAACTCTGGCGAGCAAGCAAATGACCAAGAGTGCATCAGCGAGAGGGGCTGGGAAGTAGCGTCGCCGCCGGCGTTGCCAGGCAAGGCAACGCACTTGAAAGACGTGAGTTGTGTGAGCGCACAACTAGGCCAGCAGAGGCACTCACAGCAGTCTGCAGCTGAAGCTTGCCACAACGTTGGGGCACCTTGGATCCGAACAGGATGAAATTCCGAGTGCGGCGCTGAGAAGCGACTCAGCCTTGTCAGCTATGGCAGACACAAAGTTTACCTTGCAAGTTGCGCAAGTGGAACTTTGCAAAGCTCCGGACACATCCAGGGTCAACACCACTTGATGGAGGCCTTCCAAACTGCCTTCCAAGCACAACCCGCGCCCTCACAGCCAAGCTCGTTGGCAACGCCAGCTCCTTGGCTTGCTCAGGCCAAGGTAACACGACAATGTGTCACGATCTCATGCTACTGGTAGCCGGCAACCTCATTCCGAGCAGCCTAAGTCAACCTGGAAGATCATTCTGGGACGCAAAGAAAGGCGCGGAAGCTGAGATCTAAGGCCTACTAGCTGCTCGGCCAGCAGGCTCCGAACGTGACTGTACGGACAGCCAGGTCGCTTGGCGTCAACAACACTTGTTGACGGCTGTGTTCCTGCAAAAACTGGCCATCTTTTGCCACTCCTGGCAGCCAAAACTAGGCTCTCTATGTACCCCAATATCAAGGCAGCACGTTCTGGAACAACCGGCTGGGACTCTCAGGTGTGTGAGAGCTGGCAGGCTCAGTCTTGTCAGCTACTATGGCAAGCTTCGCAAAGCTTGAACGGAGAGTTGCGCAGCCGGAACTCCGAAAAGCTTCGGGAACAGCCAGGTCGCTTGGCGTCAGCCGCGTCAGCATCACTTGCTGGCGGCTATGTCCTTGCAGAGCCTGCACTCTCTCAACCCGAGCCACAGGTTTAGTCTTGCGGCACCTGCCCAAAGTACAAGCTCTTGCGAGCTACCTTGTGCAAAGCCAGCTGCGTAAACAAGTTCTAGATCACGACTGCGCCTCATAATCAAAATGAACCCAAGGCGGGCACCAGCCTTGCAAGCAAAGGGAAGTTGCTGCGCTGCCAGTTTAAGGAAGAGCCCCCCACTCCAAAGGCGTGAGCCCGTGGCAAGCCAGCTGTGCCGTGTTTGCCAACGGCCCCGTACTTTGCTCAAGTCAAGGCAACATCATGCCCCTCGTGCCATCTAAAGCTGCTCCTTGCCAAAGCAAGCTTCATTCCAAGTCTTCGGGAACGCATTGAGCCTGGGTTTGTCTGACCTTGACCTATATACCCCCGGCGAGTCAACCCCACTGCAGCCTGAAGGTCTTGCAAGGCAGGATGCTGCCAAATGAAACCTCTCTTTTAGTCTGACTTGAAGCAGTTGCAGAACACCCGCAGACTTACCTCTGCTGTCATTGCGCCAAAAGGTTTCTTGGCACCACATCTTTGTATCCCAGGCGCTTGGAAAGCACATCTTGAACCAATGTGAAATCCACCAAAAGGTAGACTCTTGGCTCCTGGACCCCACACCTCTCCGATGCGCATGTCCGAACGGCCAAGTACAATACGTTCCAAAGCAAGAACCACTCCTTCGGTGCTGGGTGAACGGCTCATATGTTCCTTCAATGTTCTTTCGCCTTCTGGGTCTCTGCTCAGTGTCCCCTGAAAAAAATGAATTTGTTATGTACCACTAAAATGGTCTTCTCAAAAAGCATAAAGTCCTTGAACTCAGGAAGTGAGTGGTTGGCATAAGCGCAACGTCAAGCTGCTCACCCGTGAGTTGCCTGCAACATGCTGCAGGGAACCTACTGGCCACTTGCCACAAAGCGGAAAAAAAAAAGCGAAAGAGAGGGATAGAGAGAGAGAGAGAGATATAGACCTTGATCTTCCAGGACCCTGGAAAAGCAGGCCTTTGGCCGAATTTCCATTTGGAGCCAAGATCAAATCAAGAAGGACCCTGGTTTTGCGGGTCCTTGGAAGACCAAGGTAGAGAAAAACAGATAAAGAGAAAGAGAAAGCAGGAAAGAAGAAAAACGGCGGAGGATGTCTTGCCCCTCCTCTTTCGTCAATGCACCCCACGATCCGGAGAACGACTTGGCAATCAGTCCACAATAGCTGACCCGGCTTCCCAAACAAAAACAAACAACTGAACAATACATGGGGTGTGCTTTTTTGGGTACCCTTTGTTGTGTTAAAGGGAAACTAAGAGGAAAACCGTGGATTGCGCGTACCCTAGAAAACGACGGCGGGCGGCTTTCCAAGATGCGGCGCAAAACCCGTGCAGTCGAGCCGGCACCCGCCTTCGGATTCGAAGCCCTGGGGCGCAATTTTCAGACATTTTAGGGCCCAAGAAATCCATGAGATTCAACTTTTTTCTGTCGTCTATGTTGGTAGGGGAACGGGCTCCCCCTACTAAAGGGTGACAAAGGGCACTACTGGGGGACCTAGGATTGGTGTCTCAGGCGATGCTGACGCTTGCTTGGAGCTTTTGGTGTCGGACACCCACTGAGAGGGAATTTGGTGAGGGAGCCACGACAGTTGGCATCAATGTGGGTGCTTCAAACAAACAAAGTGATGGGGGCCCGAAACATGGAGGTGTTTCCGCTTGGCTTCCCCAAATCGAAACTCACTGTACATCCCATCCCTGACAAGGCCACATGCCATCTGCTTTCACCCAACTTCGGGGTCCCTCGGACACATGTGGAGGGTCAAGAAAAATAGCCCGAAAGGTAAATGTCCCAATTCGCATCCAGAGAAGCTGATTCTTTTTTCAGCTGATCATCTGGGTGGGTATTTTGTTGAGGGTACCCAGTGAGAATTGTTGCAAAGGTAAACCAGAAGGAAACTGTCCATTTGGGGATTCCCCTATGAGACAAGGCGATCTGTTGGCTTGACATGACTTCGAAGAGCTTCCAGTAAACCAAAGGTCAGGTCAATTCGCTTGCCGCGACTTGACTAGATCTGGAACATGCTCTCTGGAAGTAAGGGGGATGTTTGGTCTCCAGTGCTCCATGTGGATAGGAATGCTCCTGATTCCTGTGGTTCAACAACTTGGCTGAGAGGCTTCCATGTACAAAGTGGCACTCTCCCACACGTGTGGCATCATTTTGGTTAGGGCTGCAGCCGTCCTCTTGCAAGTCGAACTCACTTTACGGCTTTGGGTGATGCTCCACTCGGTTGCCAAGATCAATTCAACGCCTTTCGCCGAAGGTCGGTTGTTCCCATGCACGCTGGAGGGAAAGGTTGACACTCTGATGGCCCAGTTGCCCCAAAGAACCCCCCAAAACAGAGGGGATTATCTGAAGGGAGCCATGACTAAAAATGGGAACCCATACATGGGGAACCAAAAACACCGGCCAGATCCGGTCGATTCCCTAGGGTCTCAAAGTGAGAAATGGTGCAAACCAATCTAAGGGTTATTGTGTTCCCCCTTGGGAAATGACCCAACATGATTCAACACACCACGGCCTTATCCAGAAGCATGCCTCAACGGGGTCATTTCCCAGTGGGTGCAATCCCGGGTGTAATGCACAAACCCTTAGAACCAAAGGGCTCCTCTACAGCCCAACTTGCTGCCGGGCGGCACCGGAGCTTCGTCCTCACTGCCGCTGACCTGAGCCGAGTCTGGGTGCGTTCGAAGAATTCGCCAAGCAAAAATGGAAGCCAGCTACAGGAAGTTCTACAGGAAATCGGGCATCCAGCAAGCACAAGGATTTCTTGTAGAATTTCCTGTAGCTCATGGGCCAACGAGTGAGCCAACCAATCCCTCTCGGCGAATCCAACCAACAAGCCAACCCCCGGAACTTTTTCCCACCCCAAAAACCGAAGCCCACAGGCAAAGACCCCAACTCTCTCAGCTCATTTTGGAAGGTGGATAGCACCTCGGGTGAGGTGGCAAAACGGCCTTCCTGGTATCCGTCCCAAACCGCGAATGCGGTGGCCCTTGGGGGCCCGGCCTCTTCAATGGCCACTTGCACAAAGCCGCCTGACGCGCAAGGCCGGCGCACCTGTTTTGTGCAGAAGGGAGCCCTTGCCTTGCTTGCTCGTTCGGTGGGCAAGGGATTCAAACATGTGATCCCTGTAAACCATCCCTGGTGATGTTTCCTTTAAGGGAATACCCCAGTTCATTTCCCAACACCCTGGCTCGCTGATTCCCTCTCGCACCAACAAGCTTGCTCCCGATTGGGCTGATGAGCATCCCTTCCAAGCCCAAGTACAGGGTGTTCTGTGTTCTGACCAAGGCACGTGAAATGAGCTGCGTCGCTTTGGTACCGGGCTACTAACCTTGGGTGGTCCCCCTGGTTTTGCGGGTGATCTGCCCTCCCCAAACCCACGGGAAAGACTTCCTGTTATGGTCCATCGCGCGTATCGGTGTTTCTTGGAAGAGGCAGCCCCCATACAATCCAACTGCCAATTTATCCTCCCACCAGCTAACATGGAAGTGCACAGACCCCTGTAGAAAGACTACTTTCCTATTGGAAGGCCTTTTTGCACTTCCATGTTAGTTGGTGGGAGGGTAATCCGTCACGCAAGGTGCTTCCAACTAAACTTAGACCCATGCAGGGTGAACCGAACAGGGGTCCCTCCGAAGGGTTGAACCCTTCGGAGCAAAGTTCCTTCAGTCTCGGGGGCTGGTCCCTATGGCTTTTCCAAAGCCTCGAGGCTGGCTTCACCTCAAAATTGACCATGGACTTGGACCATTGGATAGCTTGGCTCTGGTTTTTTTCAGCCGGCTCCTGATCCTGCCAAACATAAATTCCAAATTAGGGCCCCTGGCCCCTGTTTTCCGCATTGCGCGCATGCCGGCCTTGTCAATGTGCCATTTGCAGGACAGGCAAAGGGTTCGCCATATCGAAGAACATAACCTATCCTTTACTCTTCCGCGTCCATTCCGCGCCAGTACTAAACTTGCTGGTGCGATAAGTAGGGAATATGGGGATTTGAACCCGGGCTTTGCTCCCCTGAAAGGAAACATCACCAGTTGGACGCTTGGTCCGGGTCGTTCCATCTTCCCATCTGCATCTCTCGCGATCGCAAGCCGATCTCAGCTCCCAGAGTCTTAAAGTCCCGGCCTCCGCTCTTCGGCGCTGGCTTCTCCTCACGAGCCGCGCTGCGAGCGGCGCCAGCTTCGGCGGATGTGGATCGATATATGACGTGCATTGGCCCAAGCAAAGGTCCACACCTTTTGGTTTGCCCCTAACATGGGCATGGGTCAACATTTTAGACCGCAGATGTTAGTCCACGCTTCCTTTTGCCACAATTCCATTTTGGGTATACCTACTCTTTCCCCACAGCCTCATGGGCTTCCCAGAAATGTCGAGTCATGATCGGAAGTTCCCCAACTAGAGCTGGAGCATCATCCTCTGACTCCATTGATGTAAACCTTTGGTGGACAATTCGATCCACGACTCTTCTCTTGCCGCTCTCTGGGTCTCTCCCAATCTACTGACCTCATGAACAAAAACAAAAAGGCAGATCGATCTGCCGGCCACATTCTCCGAAAGACATGGGATTTGAACTCACCAATTGCTGGGTGAGACTTGGGGGTTGATCAATATTCCGTTCGGCCCCGAAATGACCAACTTGTCCCATTTAGTGGTTGAAATATCCCACGCACATATATATATATATATAATCGGACCCCCATTTGCAACATGAGATTGCGGCTTCCACATGCTGCTCCTCTTCCTCACTGTCGCTGTCCTCTTCGATCTCAACCCTCCTGGCAGGCGAGAAGCAAGCGCCTTCCCCCCCCCGCTTCTGAAGGCCAATCCACGCGGGTTTCGCTTCATGGGAGAGCCCTGCAAAGTTTCAAAGGGGCCGCAAAATGAAAGTGCATCTGGATCTGGACCCTCCGCTAATGTTGATGGACCCAAAAGACATGTTCGCTTTTGATGGACCCCAAAAACACATGCTGCCTTGTTGACCACATTGCAGGATCACAAACTGCAAGTAGCAGAGCACCTGTCTCCACAAATACATGTATATGTGTCTCTCAAAAACACAAGACGCTCCATGGAAACATTGAATGTGTTGCCTACATCTTTCCCTGGTTTGCTGCACGGGTCACTCTTTTCGCTCAAGCACGTTGCATGATGTGCAGGATCTGACTATGGCGCTCAATCAGAGCAAGAACAATTGGGTCCGGCACTACTCTCCGTGGTTGCTACGGACAGTAAATCAATGCCCTGTATCCACATTGCCCAGCCAAGTGGCCAGCACGGAACATGATGTTCGCTCAAGCGCATTTGCATGTTGCGCATGTTCTGCGCAGGTCGCGCTCAGGCAAAACATGTCGCAGAAAAGGCGCTCTCCGAAGATCGTTCGCTGAACATCAAAGCTGACACGCACAGGAGTGAAGGTGTCATCATTTGTTAGGACTGAAACCTGCGGTCCCCTTGTGATTTGGTTGGACCCATACCCCTTTTTCTGCCCTTTGCCCGCATCTTCCAGCGTCAAGCCAGGCAGGTGCGGCGTATAGCCAGGACGAAGAGGCACGGAAGCCTCGTGCCGCATCCCGCGTCCATGGCCCTCCCACGCCGATCAAGAGAAAGCCGACGGAAACTTTGGGAATTCTTGGGGGGATCCTTGATAGGTCCTTCAGTAGAGAGGATAGAATAAGGCCACCCTATTTTTTTCTGTCGTCTATTTTAGTGGGGGAACGCTTCCCCAAAAAAGAAACGGTAAAAGGACACTACTCGGGGACCTAGCTTAGCAAGCCTTAGTGTTCCTCCAAGCCAAATCAAGTATCCCCCGCTTGGACCATTTCTGCAACGGCAGAACAGCAGCGTTGATTCACTCCAGGGCCTGATGCTTCAAAGGCTTTTGCCCCTACAGTACAGATCAGAAGGAGCCACCATCTACAATGTTCAAGTTCACTTAACTAGAAGTTGCCTTAATGGACACAAGGAGCCACAACCATCTTTGTACTGTACCTAAACGTATTGTGACCATGCAAAGCTTCACCGGACTTCTCCACAAGAACATATCCCAATCGGCAAAGCACCACTCCGAAGCCTGAAATCCGGCCGAGCCGTCTCCTCTGACATCTCCAAACTGCAAACTTCGGGGCTGATTCGGACCGCCCGAGGTTTGGCTGCAAGCAGTTCCGCTGTTTCATGGCTCCTGGTTTGCCCAGACCCTCCAGGCTGATGATCCGTCTCTCATAGAATCTGCAAAACACAACACGAAGCCTTCAGGATAACGCCATGCAACGAGCAACCACGAGACTGCCATCAACAGCCCCACCCACAAATGCCGGCGTCATACTCCTAAACCTTCCCCAATGCACTCCTTCGCCGCTGAAAAAGAACCTCTGATTCTGCGAGGAAATTGCCCAGCTTGCCAAAAACAACCAAGGGTCGTGCCGCGTTCTTGGCGTTTCCCACCGGCTCGTCGTCGGGAAGCTCTTCTATACCTGGAAGCTTCCCGCGAGCCGGTGTCTGTGAAATGCAGCGGTTTGGATTGTGGCCTTAGCCACGTCACCAAGTGGTGCCAGGTGTGAGGTGTTGGCAAACGGTGTTGGTTGTGTTTGTCTGGCAGGGCCAAGTGACCCCACTTTCTGACTTTGATGCCCATCGGAATACAGTGGAAATAACGGGGCAGACCAGGGACAAGGCAAGTGGAGTTGCAAATCAAGAAGGGGTGACTGTGGTGCGACCTAGGGCATGGTCCGGTAAGTGCGCACAAACAGAACGCAACAGACTTGGGAGGTCGGAGTCAATGTGGTGAAGATAGGTCGCTGCCTGCTTCAGGGCGGGTATGGGCGAAATGAACTTCCTACACCATACGAATCCATGCAAGCCGCGGTAAAAAAAACAAGAGCAAGCATGCACCATCTGTGGGCTGTGGTGATGGTTCCCTCATTCGAAATCGCGGCCATCTACAAAGGGGATGATCACCATCCACCAAGTGAACAGATTACTAAGTGGTGCTAACATGTTGCGAGCACTTGCATGCCAAGCATGAGAGCTTCTGGCTCCAACAACTTCCGCACGTGAACATTCCGTTCTCAAGAACTTACCGTGACGGGGATATATGAAGTATGGCCACTAGCGCAAATCCCCCCCCCCCCCGATCTTCTCAGTTGGCAAAATGCTATAGTAATACAGTGGATGGACGAAATCCTGCACCTTTTTGAAGCCATGGTGGAAATCCTTGTTTGTTGGTATTTACAGGGCAATCATCAGAAACCAGGGTTGCTCAGGTTGTACGAAATGGATTTCGCAACCATCCACAGTATGCCCACTGTGGACCCCCCCTGTCTTGGTGGCTCATCCCAGGTGACCAACCCAAGCCGAGGGAGCCCTGCTCAGAGGCCGAACTCGCAACCGCTTGATCTAATTTATAGATCTGGACCCTCAACTAGGTCCTCCAGTAGGGAGCTTAGAATAAGGGTACCCGATTTCTTTTTCCGGTAGGGGAACCCTCCCCCAAGAAAGGGGAGAGAAGGGCACTACTGGGGGACCTAGTCAAGATTCCAACTTCAAAACACCAAAATGATGGTTGCTGGATCCCTCTTCTTACGGTTTGAGGTCCAGGTGCCCTTTTGAAATCGAACCTCGAGCAGGTGCCCTCAGGAGCTTCCAAACGCTTCGCGGCGTGGGCCGGCCAGGCCCATTTTGCGTTGCACGCCGCTCCCACACGAGGTGGCACCAGAGAGGCACAGCAAGGGCAAGCGAGGGCCACATGGGTCTGGAGGTTTCTAGTCACTCACCTCAAAGTAATGTTAGCATCATGTCGGATTGTTTTTTTCAACAGTTGCGTTGGGGGAAAAAAACGGTTTTCTGCTTCATGTGTTTACTGAAGGTGCAATGAACACGAATTTACCGGCCAGCTTCGCTCCCAAGAAACCAGGTAGGCCTGATATATTTCGTGCAACTGACCCGCATGCCTCGTTGTCCAGCCCCCGTAGCCCTCCCTGCGCACGGCAGCTTTGAACTTCTTGAGGCCTAGCTCGTCAGCGTTGAACGTTTAGCCCATCACGCATACATAGAGAACTATGGAAGTCCAACTGAGCGAATCAAACGAGAACTAGTTCGTGAGGCCATCCAATCCAGGAATGGGGGCCCCCAAGTTTATGCATCTCACCCTGACAACTTGTCATGTTCCCGCAGCCAAGCCACACGTTTGCAGGAGCCAGCCAAGCTTTTTTGGCTCGCTTGAGCCGTGTGACGTCCTCGAGACACAGACATACACACCTTGTTTCCCTCTTGGGTTTGCACTGTTGGCGTGGTTCCGAAGGAGCCACGCAAAAAAACGATTTTGTTTGGGGGGTCTTCCTACTGTGGATGGACGAAATCATGCGCCACCTAAGAAACTCTGGTTTCTGGTGATTCCCCTGCAAATACCAACAAACAATGGTCTGAACCATGATTTCAAACTGGTGCGAACGGATTTCGTCCACCACAGTATTTTCGAATCAAAAGTTCGTGAGAGAGACAAACGGCCAGGTCCCCAGCGCGTCCCGCAGCTTTCGCCTTGCCACCTGGCGCAAGAACACATCCGATGGCTCGCCGGCGTGCGCCGTCCCGATTGACCAAATCACAAGTGCTTTTTGGTTCCTCGCACCAGGCAGTCTGAGCTACTGTGGCGCAGTCTCTCTGCGTATGAGACGGCTGCTTAGCCGGCGTTCGGTCCAAGGTGCCGCTGAGAAGTCATGCAGAACCACAGCCTCAATGTTTGCAGGCCTTAAGCGTGCTTCATTGGCGTGCGTTCCAGGCACAGATGCCCGGCCACCATTCCAAGGCGATCTTTGGCGTATGCTCCCCGGCATCCCCCCGGACATTGCGTGGGAGACTGTGGGAGGGGCGACATCAGCTGGAGAGGGTTGACAGAGGCATGGCATCACCTCAAAAAAGGTGGGGGCATGAGCAGGCAGACTTGTAGCCTGGAGCAGCAAAGCTGCAGCCTGTGCTCGGCCCTCCTCAAACACCAGGACGAAGTCCCTGAAGCAAGTTTCCTCAGAGGATGCATCTAAAAGCCAAGGGAGCCCTCCAAATCAGCTGGTAAACCTGGAACCAAATCCATCTTTGAAGGGACATTGTTTGACACGTGCCGCCAGGTTTATTTACTGGGTCAACGTTGCCCTCTTTGGTTTTACCCTCTTGGCGCGTAGCCTCGTGGGCTTGCCCTCGTTTCCCTCTCCGCTTCGCTCTCGATGGTTTACCCCTCTGTTGGGCTTGCTTGCCCCTCCAATTGCTGACGCGCCGCTGTGAGCTAATCCTCCTCGCTGTCTGAGCCGAACATGTCCGCCCAGCGTCGCACCCCGCGCTCCGGCCCTGGATCGGCATCTGCAAGCTCCTTCTCCTCCTCTTCGTCCTCCTCTTCGTCCTCGTCTTCTTCCTCGTCTTCGTCCTCGTCTTCTTCCTCGTCTTCGTCCTCGTCTTCCTCGTTTCTCCAGTGGTACATGTCCCGAGTGGCTTCCTTCCAACACTCGACCTCGAAGATGTCCGCGTCCTCTGCAAAATGAACATTCTTTTTCGGGCTGCCATCAAAGAAGACAGCCCGCAACTCTTTTCCGACACCCTCTGTCAGGTACCAGCCATCGCTGATGATCTTCAGATAAGTGTTCAGCGCCTCCTTCTGCAATTCCTCCAGCAAATTTGACTGCGACTCCAGCCAGTGACGCTGAAACGCACCCAGCCAGCTGAACATCGTCGCAGGCATCTAAGCACGGCTAAGCTTGATCGCTTGAGCTAGAATGGCCACAGTCGCGGCCCGCGGCTCGTCGTCGTCTGCCCGGGCGGGGGGCCAAACGGAACCAAAAAAAAACGGCAGCAGAGCGGAACATAACTTTGGCCGTGGCTTGAACAGCTGACTAAGGGGCGCAGGCAATGGGAAGCCTTACTGGCCATATAAAGTTCTGGCTGATTGACAGGAACCCCTAATTTGCAGGAAAAAACACTTCATGGAGGATGGATTTCCTATACCCACGCTGACATTATCATTCGCCTGTGGTCAAAGGTGTTGCAAACAGCACCCTTGTGGCCTGATCATAGACCCCTCTTGGAAGTTCCTTGCACGCCCAAGAAAGTGCGTTGCAGAGGGTTCAGAAGACGAAAACGGGACAGTGCCAAGAGCACTGATCAAGTGTTGGGACGGTCTGGGTGGCTCGTAAGTCGGAAACCAAACAACAACCAATCACGCGGAGACGGAACAGCAACTTCCAGCGAAACCGACAGGCAAACAAACAAACCAAAAACACACACACACACACACATCTCCAACCTGCTCCTCGCGGCCCAATCATGCAACTCCTCCCATTCTCCCATTTCTGGGCAATTTCGGTTTCTCGCAACAAAACCGCGCCATGAGGTCGCCGTTGATCTGGGAGTTGCCCGGGGACAGCAGAAGCGCCTGCTGGAATGTCCGGACCTGGGCCAAAAACTCGGCGTGTTGAGCGCCAGGTGTGTAGAAAGAACAAACGCATGCGAGCTTGTTTCTTTTTGGCCAAAAGGAAAGCCACCCGAAAGACATGTGGGTGTTTCTTGAAATCGGGCACCGATTTCTCCATGTAGCTGGCTTTGGCTTCCTTCTAATTAGGTTCTAAAACCATCCAAAGGGGCCCCCCCTACACACCCCCAGATCAACACAGCCCCTACCCCGAATTTGTTTTGAGTGGTCTTGGACGTTCCTCGTTTGGTGTCAAAAGGAACTGGAGTTCAAAGCCCCAAACCTATCCAAACCACCAATTGAGGGTAATCTGATACCAGGGACTGAAGAAACACGAGTACACGAATTGCGCGGCGACCCCCGCGTTGTGGCTTGCTTTTCTTTGGCCATGTCTGAAAGCTTTGGGTTTCGCGCATGGGAGTGAATTTTCACTAACACTTTGGGTTTGTCTCAAAAATATGTGCGCCACAAACATGGGTGGCATTACAATCTAGGAGTTTGCCCGAGCCATGAGCCAGGACTATTCGTGATACAATAAGTTGAGTCATGACGTTCATTACATGCATTACACAAAAATGATGTTAGTGTTTCAGAAGGCTGAAGCATGGAGTTCGTCAAGCTCATCATTAAGTTCTAGGAGTTTGCCTGGGCCGGGACTACTTTCAAGTCATTCAATTAAACAAAAGTCAGGTGAAAGAAACTAATTGTTTAATGTTGCAGAAGGCCGCATAACATTAAACATTGAGTTCATTAAGTTCTAGGAGTTTGCGTCTGCCAGGACCATTCAGTATTAAACTCGTTCAATTCACTAGCATCACGAAATTCCTTGTTCATGAACGTCATGTTTTAAAGCTCCAGCATGCAAAAAGCATTGCAATCATTAAGCTCATGAAATTAGTTGAATGAACTGAACGACTTGAATGATTTAAAATTGAAATAGTCCTGGCCAGGCAAACAACTTGATGAAGTCACTGCTTGCGGCCTTGCAACAATACAGCTTAATGAACTCAATGCTTTCAATCGTTTTGTCTTGCTGGAACATTGAACAACCATTAAACTCATTAAGCTCAAGGAGTTTGCCTGAGCCAGGGCTAATTGGATACGGAAATCAATTGAAATAGGAAGCACAATGAACTCGGCTTCGTGAACTTAGCGCCTTTTTAACCACAAGGTCGAACATATTCAAATCATTGAGTTCATGACATTAGGCTGATGAGTTTAACCATCTTAAGCATTTGAATGATTCTATACTATTGAAATTGTCCTGCTCAGGCAACTCCTAGAAATCAACGAGTTTAACGCGTTTAGCTTTCTGAACCATTAAGACTACTAAGTTCGTAAAAAAGTAAGCATGAAAATCATTAAACATAAATTTTGACGTTCATTCAACTCGTTAAATTCTAGCAGGTTACCTATGCCTGGACTATGTGAATATTAAAAACATTGGAACAATAAATATCAAAAAAAAAACATGATGTCAACGTACTGACCTAAAGTGTTTTAATGCTCCCAAAGGCCAAAAACCATTAAACCAAAATTGACCTAACTAACTTAATGATTTTCGTGTTTTAAAGTTCCAGAAAGCAACATACAAATCATTGAATGCGTTTAGCTTGATTCATTTCATGATTTATCGGCGTACTCATCTACACTGCACTACATTTGTTTGATGATTCTGGCTCACGACTCCCTTTCTGAGAGCCAGCTAGCCACCTGTCCCAAAACAAGCCAAACATCCTTTCAAAGATGCGCCGTTAATTTGGTGGGACTGCCAAGGGCAGATAAGTTTGCCCTGTTAGGGTTTCTCCTCCTTCCTGATTTGTTTTCGCACGTTCTGCCTGGGAACCAACGGATGGGTCGACAGTTTTTCGTGAGACAGAACTTCTTGGGCCCAAAGTGGGCCAAGCGTTGCCAGGCGTATCTTGAGTCTTACCTTCCAGTTTTTGAGGAAGATCTGTGGAAGGAAGAAGCTTGCGGGAAGATCCGGACGCCGTGCGTGCGCGTACTCTGCTTGGAATGTTTGAGACGACCGACTTTCTCAGGAGAGTGCTTAGGTCAGTCGCCAAGGTGGGGGCCAACGATTCCAGAGGTCGTGGAAGACTTTCGCCAATGCAAAAGTCTGTGTTACCCAAGCGGCACTTCGACGGCAAAGATGGGCTCCCTGTCCAGGACCTGGAGAGTAGAACATTTTGCTGTGTTTGGCCTTCTAAAACATTTAAACCATTAAGCCGCAATGATGGACTGGTTTTCATGACGTACATGGCTTTAATATGAGAACAATTCTGGCTCAGGCAAGCTCCTAGAATTTAATGGGTTTGGTTGGTAGCCTTTTGGAGCATGAAAACACTTAATGAGCTTATCGATCTTATTAGTTTCCATAAGCTTAGTTCCGTCCTCTGGCCTTGGCCTCAACGTTCAATGAGTTTAATCGTTTTGGGGCGTTTTTGAAACAAGTTCATGACGTTCACCGAAGTGCTTTAATGAATTTTACCAAAAGTTGGGACACTTAAAACAAGTAGAAGAATGAGCAACAAGTAAATCTGGTACAACGCACCGGCCCATTTGGGAATGCTCGCGGCAGTTGCAACAAAACCTAGAATAACAAGAACAAGTAGAATATTAGAACGAAGCTGCACCTGAAAGGCGCCCTGCCCTCGAGAGCAATCAAAATATTTAAGTGGTTTTCTGCAACATATGTATAGATGTATATGAATACATACATATATATACATGTAGATATACCCACCCAAACCCGCGCCTGCTGCTTGTGTGAGGGAAGTCGGGTCAAATTTTAGATGGGTGTTAGCAGAAGTGGGGTCCTTGCACCATGTCGGCAGACTGCGCGCAGAATTGGCCACCCGTAGCGTTTGCTTCTACTTTCCGAATCAGAGTGTGGCATTCCTCCTTTTGATCCTCGTTCAATCATTTCATACGTCTTCTGGTCATAAACTAAAGAGCATCAGAAGCAAAGCTGGGTACAGCGTAGAAGCTAAGTCGGGTATCGTGTCATAATACAACGAGCCTGAGCCAAAAGATGTCACACACACACACATCTCTATGTCAGTCAATAATAAAGCATCTGCTTTTACAAAGAAATCGTGATGTCCTCTCACGTTTCACTTTTTAACTCTGTCCATGTTAGTTTTGTTTTTCAGTCTTCATCACTAATGTTATCTTCGTTCAATTGACGGCAAACGTACCATTTCTGTGAGAGTACCTGCCGAGGGTGTGAGAGTACCTGCCGAGGGTGTCAACCATAAAGCAAACAATGCCTCTTCTGCTTCGCGTACGCATCTTCGACTCCTCATCTCAACAACAGTACAAATCCTCTTCATCTGTCTACTTGCGACCCTGTGCAAATTCCGCGCATCTGGCGTCTCTCATCTCAACTCATCTACAAATCCCCTTCGTCTGTCAGCTCACAAGCCTTGGCCAATACCAAAGCATTTGCTCACATCTTATACTGTATGGCTTGACCAATGCCATGCTGCCTGCTAGCGCAACTAGTTTCCATAAACAAAACCTGTTCTGCACAAAGACAGCTAAGAAACATGTAGCACACTCACATTTACAGTGTCTGTTCAATGTCCAAGGGTTGGCATGGTTTTCCTAATAATTTGCTAGTAATTTAATGACAAAGCAAGCACTGTAAAAGAACTCATTGTATAAGAAATTGAGGGGCTGAGATTCCCAAACCAAGCAGGTTGCAACTGTGTTTGCTGCTAAGAAATTGAGCCCTTCTGGATTTTTCGTCCAATTTCTTCGCCAACTTCTTGCTTGCGTGAGGAAGAAAACCCCTCCGCGCTCCAAGGTTTCTGAGGTGCGGGTGTGGCACCGCTACACCAGCTGGGCCTTGGATTGTTGAGTGGCCTTCTCGGACGATGAAGACTCCTTTGCTAAGAAATCCAAGGCCTTTTCGCGCGATGAAGGGCTCCTTTGCGAAGACCAGGCCTGGATTTCTTAGCGGCCTTTTCGCGCGATGCAGGGCGCCTTCGCTAAGAAAGAAATCTAGGGCTGGATTTCGAAGCGGCCTTTTCGGGCGATGAAAGGCTCCTTTGCTAAGAATTTCAGGAATTCATTCCCCCCCAAAAAAGACTAAGAAATTGGAAGAAATCCTGCCCCCCTGGCTCCAGAGGGGTAGAAACAAGGGACGAAATGGGCGCTAAGAAATTCAGCCTTTCTGGGCCTCGACCAACCGCTTTCTCATATAGCGCTCGCACTGTATCCAACGTCCGTACGCTGAACTATCACGCTGAACTATCAGCTGCGTTTACCGCACGCAGTTCCCAAAAACAGTAAGGCGCACAAACCCATGCCTGGGCAAGAATCCGGCGCAGCCGAGCGAATCCGGCGCCATCCGGCAGCAGCAGCCTGCCTGCGTCGACCGGCTGCCTTGCGCACGCCACTTCGCCAACACGCCGTCCAGGGCCACGCGGCTGGACTTCGCCGCTTCGCCGCGGCCGTGAGCTCGCAGTGTATGGCTTGTGTGATTCTGCAGCTGCTGCTGCTGGTGTCGCTGTTGCTTTCCCGTGAACACATTGCAAGTCCATTCTCTCTCTTGCAGAACGATTTGCTTTGCAGGTTCTTTTCAGTCATTGGGGCTTTCCTGTGTTTGCCGCAGTTGTGGCAAACTCTTGTACGACATATTTTGCTATGCGCCTGCAGCTGGGAGCTTTAGCAAGAAACTGCAGCATGAAGAGTTTGAAAGCAATAGCAGGAGAAGAAATACATCGACGCTGCCGCCATCTTTGCATCAGCAACAGCAAGGCCACGCACATGAGCACAGCCGGCTAACGTGCACGCGAAAGCCATCAAGACAAGACGCGCAAAGAGCCATGAGAAAGGCGCAGCTTCCCGGCCTTTAAATCAGGCGTGGTCGAGGGGGCGGTTCATTTTTCAAGACGACGGAAAAGGCAAGGGGCGAAGGCGCTGCATAAAATAACAACACCCTGCGCTTCTAAGCAACATGCGCAAGCGAGATGGTACTGGTTTGGCGCCAAGCTCTATGTTTGCATTGGATGGCCTCCTCGAGTTCTTGGTCGAGGTCGGGGATCGCATCCACACATATGGGTTTGCCTCCATAGATAGGGTAACCGCATCAGCTGCAACCGGAGCAGCACAGGTTTCAGACGTGTCTGACAAAAGACAAGTTGATCACCAGATATGAAGGGCTCGGTAAAGTGGGCTCGCTCCAGTTGCTCTTGCTTGATGTGCACCTTGGGCACTCCCCTGGTTCTTCTTTGGTACCCTGAGCGTCCTCATCCTTCTGCATCCAGGTGCTACTTGGTCTTGCCTTCAATGCCCGCGAGTGTTGGGCGATCTTCAATGACGTACTCTTCTTTGCAGCCTGCAGCAAGATCAAACTCCGCTGCATGTCTTTGTCAAGAAGGGGTCGTGCAGATGGAAAAATCGTGCCAATGTCCCGCTCTGTCCAGGCATACCACGGAATGGATAAAGACAATGAAGGTGGACACCAACGTTTGAAAGCAAGGGCTACCCTTCTTCTCTTCCTGAATCAGAGGGTGTAGGCCACGGCACTTGCCCACCTGAGATTTGATCGGACCCACGGTGCGATGTCTTGAAGGTGAGAGGCCGATCCTTGATAGTCCGCGGTGGATCTGAGGAACTTCTTGATGGTCCCCTTGTCCATTTGTGGAGCGGGCCGTTTGGATCATTAACCTGCTCCTCCGTCCACACGGTGAACTGACCGTCGGAATTTCTTCCGGGCCAAACAGACAGAGGAAGGCAAAGCCCCTGCACGTGTCTTCGGTCTCCTTGAGCACCTTGCAGGACGCACACCAGGGACCACTAGCTTGTGGTAGAAGACCTGGAAGCTGCCCAGCCCCAAGCGGTCAACGCAGGATGCCCTGGCACATAGACATGATATTTGATGCGCTTAACGATCCTTGACGAAAAGCTGCATGTCGTAACGTGCCTGGAAGTTCCCCTTCATGCGCATGGGCTCAGGTAGGTCGGCGTAGTGTTGCTTTAGGAACAGTGTCTCTACCCCATCCAAGTCTATGGGTTCCTGGTGGTCATGCTGAACTGCGCTTTTTATCACGGAGTCGGTGATCTCCGTTTTAGCTGGCATTGATGGAATGCTGCTCCTTGTTGACCACCACTGGTCTTTCCAGGTAGAGGAAGTTCATGCCATCTGTGTGGGCGATGGCCCTCCTCCCACATCCAGGCTGGAGTTGTCGAATGAACGAGCAAGCGACCCAGCGCGTTGCGGAGGCACAGATGCCATGAGAGCAACTGGAGAAGGGAGGGGGGCACACTAGCTTTGAAATGGCTTCAACATAGCACAGGGGAACTTGATGAGCTGGAGATGCAAGGAGACTCAAACTTTCATAGTCAGCAAGTTTCTTCTTGCGGCTGGGAAAAGTGAGACGGCTCATATAGGAGACTTGCAAAAAATTAAACGTCACCGCTTGAAGGACGGTCTCGAAGCCGGGCCGATCTTAAAGCGCGCGCCCTCGAAGCTGAACACCTCAGATTAGATGGGCAAGAGCAGAAATGACAGCAGAAGGAGCCCATGAGAAAATGCGTTTTCGAGTCTATGAAATTTGCCAAGTCGCCACATGGCACCACACACTGCAGCAATGCCAGATGTGGATCATGGGGGGGCGCAGGGTGAGCATATATACATATATACATATACACATATAAATATGTTTATATTTGTGGAGCAATGACATTCCCCCTAGCCCGCATGCTGAGATCTCATAATCCGTTTGCTCAAGTTGCATAGTCCGGTACCTTTCTTTACTGCCACATCCCAAAGCCTCTGAATCTGCGTTTCCAAGAGCAGCTGTAACGGCTATGCCGGTGCCAAGCAACTACAAATCAGCTGCCTCTTAAGCCCCCTTGCAAGCAAGCTTGCTTGGCTTCAGCCACATGGGCTTTACAGGAACCCAAACTGAATAACTCCTAGTCGGTTTATAGGGGGTCCGAAACCCTCAATTTGTTTGGGATCACCCCATGTAAGTCCACAAGGTCGAATCAGCTTGTTCTTCGATCTGTTGGGCGCCCCGCCGCGTCATCGTATCTCTGCATCTCGTAGAGGGCCTTGCCCTTGCGGTGCAATGCCTGGCTTTGCCGCAGTCTATGCGAAGTTTTTTTTTGCGAAGACACCACTTTGGAAAACCCTGTAAGTAGGGAATCCCTAAGCGGGGGGGGGGGGTGGTCCAAGGAAAAGGTTCCTAAAAAAAACCGAGGAACTCTAAGGAACCCGAACAAAAATCCAATGGAACAAACAATGCAGGACAACTGCTTTTGCGGAAAGCCAAGTAGGATGCAATACCACCACAATCATATAATTTCCCGAATCACCCCTGGACCGCTTCTAACACGCGGGCTCGCTCAAGCGGCGTTCGAAACAAATGGTTTGGTGCATGAGTCTGGCATGGTAAAGGACATCCAAAATGGCAACCAACCATCTCGGGAGCCACCCAATATGATAAACCCATATTACCATCTCGTAAGGGTCCTTCCTATACTTTTGCCGGACAATCCCAAAGCGAGTTCCATGTTTCGCCTTTCTAAAGACATACCGCGCGCCTTCACGTAGTTGCTGTTGAGCGCCAGGGCGTGCTCGCAGTCCTGCGGAAATTATACTAGGTCCTCCAGCAGAGAGGTTGGAATAAGGGTACCCGATTTTTTCCCTGTAGTCTATCTTAGTGGGGCAACCCCCCCAAAAAAGAGCAAAAGGGCAGTACTGGAAAGTTCCCTGAACGAGGCGTACTCTGCTGACTACGGAGACACCTTGCCCAAGATCTGGGGTTCAAGGTTTATGTTTGCCGAAGTTGCCCACTAGAAGTGTTCATCTTTCACAGCTCGCTTCATGTTTCGAACAAGGGTGTCCAAATGGCCACGCTAGGCTGACGCCTTGTTTTCACGACCTCGCATCAAGCAGGGTTCGCGGTTCAAGCTGGTCAAAAGTCGCCGTGGTTGGCGGCTCCCAATCGAAGCCCACCCCTGCTTGACATTGTTGCGCTGGTTGGCCCCAGCTTGAAACATCCGCAGCCATGTGTTGTCAAGAGAATGTCCTGTCAAAAGCATTGCGCGAAACATTTTTGTTGGCCAACAAACCACATCCAGCATATCCCCCTTCATCTGTCTATGCTCCTGGCAATGGACGGCCTCTAGTTTCTGGTGGGGTCTCCTGTAAATGTCTGGCACCGGGAAGGCATCCCAGTGATCCAACTCTCCTACCCGTAGGCAAACCAGCCCCCTGACATTTGTGGAATGTGCCACTGAAAAAGCAGCAAAGGTCAACACCTCAAAACCAATTGGAACCGAATGAAGCACCTTGTGCACAAGCCACGATATGATCCTTACCAACTTGGAGAATCCGTTTCCATGCGCTCAAAGTCTGTCCCTTTCGGCTGGCAAATACCATGATGTAACTACATATTCCGGATGCACGCCTTTCACCAAAAGGGGGTCATGTTTCGCCAACCCCAAGTTTCAAATCCAGCATCCCTAGATGCAACAAGTTGAAGAGCCCCATCTTGGGGTTACCGACTGCACCAGGGACAACAGCCATAAAGAAGGCCGCCGGCTTGTGCAACAGCCAGCTCCGCGACGCCCGGTCTCGTCCCGCCTGCAGGGCCGCCTCGGGCTTCTGAAGCTTCAGCCGCACCTGCGACTCTGGAGAGGTCGCGTTGGGACTCTTCCCTTAAAAATGCAGGCGGGTTCAATCCCATGTTTTCTAAAGCCCCCCCAAACCACTCAGCTGAGCCACAAGCAACACCCGGTCTTAAAATGGTTTACCCTGAACCATGCTGTTTCGCTCTTAAACAACAAGTTGAAGTACTGCTGACCCCTGATTTTCCCGCCCCCGAGGCAACTGATTCTGGAGGGGGGAAGTCCCTTTTGAGTGGGGAATAGTGGGGATATGTTTTCCTCCCTGGGAACGCCCCCGGAATGGAATCTTGGGAGTCGAGTCGAGCTCAACACGAACTGTTCAAATCTCCCATTGGCTTTGAAAGAAGCAAGCATCCCTTTCAAGGACAAGCATCTTTTCACCCCACTTTCCTGTCAGATTCCCTGCTACAAGTTGAACTTTCAGTGGGTCAAATGGAAACCCCCACTAAACCCTAACCAAAAAACCTAAAGGAATGGCTAGGAACCAGCCAAATCACCCCAGAAATCCCCAAGAAACCCATGGACATCCCTCGAATCCGACTCGCCCCACTGTGCCCGGCCAGTGCTCGGTTGGACCAGGTGGAGACGTCGTCGGCCATGTACTGCAAACTTCTGGTGTAGTAGGCCTCGATTGGGAAACAGCAACTGGGTGGTAACCAGCTTGGTTGCCTAGGTCCTCCATTAGAGAGGTTAGAATAAGGGTACCCTTTTTTCTGTAGTCGATTTTAGCAGGGGAACATAGGGGAACCCTCCCCAAAAAAAGGGTAACCCAGTTGCTGTCACCCTCCTCTGGAAAAAGTGAGTAACTTTTTGTCGGTGCAATTCGGAAAACCGACTTGACGGCGCAAAAAGCTGAAGTCTAAAGATCCAACCCACTAGCAATCAAGACAGGGTGTGTCCAGAAACATGTCCATCTCTAGTTAAACAAAAAGAAGACACGGAACAAACAACAAAAACAAAGCAGATCCATCTGTATTGAACAGGGGTCCGAAATGATAACAAGCAAATCCACTCCCTTCTGTGGCTCTCTCTAAGCAAAAGATGCAACGTTTTGCACCCGGACTCCCCATCCACATGGAGCTGGTTTCCATCCAGTTGTGGGAGTTTCATTTATCAAGAGGCCCCTTAAAGATTGGCATGGCATATCCAGGCGTCACCGCAAACCGCTCTGCTCCTGGTTGAACACCCAACGGCGTGCAAACTTTGGATACACGACTCAACATAAAATTCTCAATCAACGGTGTTGGACCAGCACGTCCAAATAGTGGACATCCTATTCAATTATTCAGTGTTCTTCTCAAGTCCCAGAAATGGGTCCCACGTGGTTTGAAAGAGCGGCATGTGGCCGCAGAGACTTCCTTCCAATGCTTGCTGTCCTTTTGCTTCCGCCAAGAAACGGGTAGGCGTCAAAATTGGGATTACACACACCCCAAGGTGGTTTTCTTTTTGGATTCCCATTAAACCAATCTAAGTACGAGTATCCTCAACAATTCACAGGCCCAAATGGGTGCGCGTGCCTTTTCAGAGGACCTATTTGGGTGTGGCTCAAAACTAAAGAACTAGGGCAGCCCACAGGTTTTCGTTTTGTTCCATTCTCCAACTTGTGCCCATGTTCGGTACCATTTTTTTTGGGCCACAAACATTTGTTGGTGGTAACCTAGCAACCGGAAACATGGACGAAACCCTGCGGTCCATATCCCGGTGCCTTAACTTTGACCCACTAAACATGGACCAACATGGGAAAACCAAACGGTCATCAGGTTGATTCGCCTTGGGCCGCTGAGGTTCAAGGGGACCCATTTCCTAGATCCTCCAGTAGAGAGGTTAGAATAAGTGTAGCAACTTGTTTCTGTCGATTTTCGTAGGGGGACCCTCCCCAAAAAAGACAGTGAGAAAGGGCACCAATTGCTGGGGGACCTAGTCTGTATAAACATGAGTGGCTGGAATTGCGGGCAAATCCTTGGGCTGTTTTCAGACAACTGACCAGGGCCCAAAGAAGGGGCTCGCCGGTGCACCGGAAAAAAAAAGCCCAGTTTGTCTCATGTTGGGGTTTCCCTCAGTCCAATGCTTGAACTGGATAAACCCCACCTGGTCTCATAGGTTAAAATGAAACGATGCCCTGGTGCCGAAGGCTCGACTTCCAATGGCCAACTTCCATCCCCGCCTCCGCCTCCTCGAAGTCCTTGGCATAGAAGGCCTCGCGAAGCGGAGCTTGCGGCGCGGTGCGAGTTTTTTTCTGTGAGGCGAAAGGCGTGGGGGGGGTGGAGCCGTTTGGGGAAGCGCCCCGTGCGACCTGTTTTGGGGGAAAACACGGGTCATCTCTTGGTTTATTTGGTTGGGATTTGAGGATCTCAGGTGGTTTCAGATTGGTTTTGAGCCATCTCTTTCTTGGGGCAACCCATGTTTAAGAGTTTCTTGGGTTGCCACATTCAAAGTTGATTGAACATTCTGGGGGTTGACCATCTTGGGGCTGGCAATTCTTCGCAGCTTCCCCAAGCGATGCTGTCTCTTCTCGGGACCCCTAAAATCTAGCAAACCCTCTCCCCCCACTTCCTGAATGGATGGGCCAAAAGAGTCCAAGCTGTTTACCACCAAATCCAATGGCTGCTGCAGTTGAGGGACACTCACCTGCCCCAACCATATTTTTGATAGCTTGACTTTGGTAACATCATGGTCCAAACCCACAAAATGGCCCAAAGCTCGAACCGAAACTCAGACATTTGAGTCTCTCTCTCGCCTCGTTGCCCTTCTCCTTCTCGCTGTCCGCCATGTGCTTCTTGTGCGCCTGGCTGAGAGCCGGAGTCAGGGACCGATTCGGCACAGGCCATCCCGCCATCCCCGTGTGACGTGCCGAAACCACAGCTGTGATGCTAAAATCTCGGCATGAGACCTTTCTGTGCAAACTGGTCAAGCAAGCACTGCGCAAATCGCAGAAATCACGCAACCTCTAGCTGTGGGCTTGAAGGGGGGCCTTGTTTGAACATCTGCCCCACCCACTTGTTGAGTTTGATGATCTTTGGATCTCTGGCCTTTTGGGTTGGGGCTTGTCTTTGGACCTTCGTGGCGCTTGCTACAAAAGGAAGCCAAAGGGAAATCAACATTTTACCAACGTCCCTCTGGAGACAAACCCGTTGCCGTTGTACGCGTTTCCCAATGCAAAAAGTAACGAAACATTGGCGCTGTCCCTTCGGTGTCCCCCACAAAACCAGCCTTAAGGTGGCGCAAAAACATTCCCCAAATGCACATGAGTTTCAAGATTTGAAATGCCATGTGTGAAACCTAGGGGACTTTGGTCGCGGCCGGTTGCCTCTAGAAGGGTTCTATCTATATATATATATATATATATATACATGCATATGTATGGCTGCGGGTCGGCTGCACCTGTCCCAGGCAAGGAATCAGCATGGGGTGGTGACATGCTGTGACGCCTACCTTGCCATATAAGCGTCAGGAAAATATGGCGCTCGAATTGGTTTCCAATAGCCATCAAACCTCAACGGCTTTCCGGTTTCCCGAGAAGAACGTCGTCCAGAAACGCTGGACAACAGCTGATGGCGAAGGCAGGAAACTTCACATGGCCCAAGACTGTCTGTCTGGAGCATTTCTCCGGCGACGTTGACGGGACAAAGGAAAGGGTCAAATAAATTCAGCGTCGTCTATGCAATGCTGTGTGAAAGGCCCAGAAAGGAAGCAGGTTGGCGCACATCCGGGCCCTCGAGACTCCCTGCGTCCAGGTTCATTGACTCGTGTACGAACCTTTGCCATCGCCTAAGTGCCTAAGAGAAAAGAGTTGACGGCCATCCCGAACATATCCCACTGGCCTGCAGGAATTCCGCATGTCCGAAGCCTCCTTACACAAGACACCTCGCTTCCTGTTTGATTCTTGGCTTCCTCGACAAATCCCCACAAGGAGGCTTTACTCGCTCGCTTTGCGCCACATCCCCAATCACACTTGACCAAGAAACCCTTGGACTATAGCTCAAATATGCAGGGATTGCCGCCCACCGGACTCAGACTAGAGAAGACTCCTCGGACAAACTACGCAGTGTGTGTGTGTGCGTGCGTGTAACATGGTGTTATATACAAGCATAACTCAAATTACCCCCCATGGACAGGTTGTTTTACTTGCATTGCAGTATCTATGGATCGGCCGTACCAACGGCACAGGTGTATAATATTGTGCGATGGATTTGCAAGAAAAATAGAGCACGTCTTTCAGGAAAGTCAATGTCGCGAGGCTTGTCCTCTGTGACTATCTTTCAAATGCGGCTGAAATGTCAATCAACACGTACAACGTAAACTCAGGGCAAGCACTGTATGTAAATACGAGCTTTGAATATATACACACTGCACATGATATATGCAAATATGTATATATATATATGGGCGCTGTAGCTCTACATATTACTTCATATCACACCATGTCATGAAATGGTGACCCCCCTCCAGGTGCCAGATCACCAACGGGTTCAAAGCAAGGGGCCCGGTCCCAGTTTGCCCGACGGACGGGTCCCAGAAGCCTTCGCTCGCCCAGTGGATCGCAACCACAGTAGGTAGCCAGCCATTTTCCCCCTGGTTTTGAAGGGTGGCAAGGTTTTGGTTGCCTAAACCAGGAAAGTGGAATCACTGATATCTAGTCTTGCCAGGGAGAATGGTGAATGGACATGAAACTCCTCAAGGCATCCCATCCCCAGCTTCTAATTCCACTTGTGTATTCTTGCCAGGGAAAATGACATCACAATTCCAGAGATCACCACCCTTTTCCAGTTGAGCTGAATTGCTGCAAGCAGCGCCCGCGCCTCCGGAACCTCGTGCACGCTGGTGACCACGTCGCCGTTCACCTCGAAGACGCTACCAAACACCCATAAGGGCGGCTCGCCCTTGTTTCGAGTGTACCCCTTTTTGCGAGGATTTCAAGGGAAACCAAAAGGAACGCCGAAATCCACCCATTTTGAAGGGTCCCCCCAAAAAAAGGCGAGCCACCCATAAGGGGGTGTTTTTTGGGCACCCCGCTTGAAGCCGCTGTTCGGGGTCGCCCAAACCCCCCCCCCCCCCACCCACAAAAAAAAATGAGACAAAGAACAATAGGCATCAGCCAAAATCTCACTTCCTGAGTGGATTGGCCCACAAAGTCTAAGCTTTGGATTTACCGTGAAGATTATCCTTCCGAAAGTACAAGTCGGAGTGAGAAGGACGAAGCAATCCATAAGGGGCGTATCTCGAAGCGCGACGCAAAGTTCTGGGTCTCACAGTGCAGTCTGCCCACCTTGGGCACGTCGTCCCAGAGAGCATCCTGAAACAAGCGAGGCCAGGTTGGGACCAAGAATCAAAGGAGGTACTGTCTGCAAGACAATCCCATCCCGAAACAGGCCACATGGAAGTTGTTGTTTTGTTTTGTGCGGATTTTTTTGGGACCCATTTGCGGCCGACATACTGTACATTGCTGACACCTTCTGCAAGATGCCAGTCGGAACTGTTGGCTCTTGGCACATGTGCATGAATCTGCAAACGGAGTAACAGAGCAGCACAGATTCAATGAATCCCTGTGCCTACTTGCTCATATCGACTAGATTGCTCTTTGCGGAAACCCGCACTACATTGTATGAGGCGGCAAAACATGTCTTGTAAGTATTGTGTCATCACCGACAGAGCATTGCAGGCGCGCTACTGTGTAAATCAAGACCTCGGCTGCTATGCTCCCTTCTTGATTGGACACGCACAGCCTGGACATGTAGTCCCGCTTCGATAGTCAAACAAACAGGCAGAACAATGCAACTTTCATAATAGCCATCCGGCCAGCAAAGGCCACTGGCAATTCCCAATCAATCCAAGAGATCGTCGAGCAATAGACCATTGGAGGTTGCCAGAATTCACTATCACATGCCACGAGGAGTTGCGTTTGTCCTGATGGTTGGCTGGCTTGCCGCCATCAGCATTATGTCGATTCTGTGCTTTGATGTTGTCTCTTTGAATCGTGTGCATTGTCTTTCAAACAGCATGTTTCTATTTCAATTTGCCTACTGCTCGTTGATCTCATGTTCGGAGGTGTCTTTTGTTGAAGCTACCCCTTCTTTTTTTCTTCGAACACCAAAGGCAAAGCCGCAGTCCGTTTCTTTTCCTTTTTTCTTCTTCGAACTCCAAAGGCAACAAGCCGACGTCCGTTTTGGTGGGGCCCCCACCTAAAAGACGAGCCACTCGTTGGTCTCTGGTTCTTTCCACATCCGCCCCCCCACCCCCCAGATCCGAGTCAGCCGCGCTGCGCACTGCGCGCCTCTCCGCCGTCCCGCACCTTGCGAGGCTCGGAGGACGTCACCTGGCGAAAACTCCGTCGAACCGACACCCGGCGGTGTCCGACTTGGAGCGATCCCGGCGATCCCCGTAAAAAACCTGGCTGTTTCGCGCTCCATTGCGAGCAGATGTGCAAAACCTGGCCAGTTCCCGCCGGGTTTGAGAAATTTCCCATGGAATCGCAAAACCCCTCGAGGCTCTTCGGGGCTCCAAGTCCCAAAATGTGAATGAGATCCGCAGTTTCTGCGGCGACTGTCCCGTAACCTGCATTAGAATCAGTGACCAACTGCTATCATGTTCATGAATTCAGACCAATCATGGCAACACGCGGCAATGCACCGACGGCCATTCCAAACCTTCATCGGATTTGGCTCCCATGAGGCCTGTTCAAGATGCAACCTTGGTTCCTGATGTGGGTTACAAAGTTTTTGGGGCGAATGTGTTGAGCAAACCATGTCTTGAGCAAGCTAAGGTAGACGGAAATCTAGGAATCGGTTGTTCTCTTGTATTGAAATATTGTTGAAACACATATATAAATATATACATATATATATATATGCGTACATATACATATATGTATATATATATACACGGGATTTAAGTCCAACATGTTGAGCAAAGCAAGAGGGTTGTTGAACCCCTGGGTGACTCAAGCATTTTGCAAGAGGTTGCATTTCTTGCTTGGCCAAAGCTATTTCCTTAGATGTGCGAAACCCTAGAATGATGATTGCCCTGTAAATGCCAACAAACAATGGTTTTCCATGGTTGCAAAGTGGTGCGAAAGGAATTTCGTGCATCCGCAGCATTATTAAAGGGACGCCAAGAGGAAAGGTCCCGACCAAAAAAACCGGAGGATCCCATCGCAAAAATCCCCTTTATTGTAAGGCTCCGGTCTGCGTACACGCAACATAGGGGAATTCTCAAAGTGAATCCCCCACTAGAGCAACGGTTCTCGTTGGGTTTCCCTTACAACACTTGGTATGGCCCTGCCAAAACATATTTATTCTTTGGTAGCCCGTCACAAAAATGAACAGAACCAAGAAGCCTAATTACACCAGCGTAGACCCCAGATAGCACATCACGGCTACGAACCATTATGCAGCATCATAATAGTTCCCGAGGCATCATGATGATGTTGAGAGCATCATGATGATACCACAGCCACTCAGCATGTGCGCTAAATAGACACGAAGACAGCGTCCTAATGAGTTTAGCAGCAAAATTGATGATGTTGACAGCATCATGCTGATGCACCCAACGAACGATTCCGCGCCACATATCTAGCAGAAAAAAGGCGGAGACGACGTCCTGATGAGTTCGACAGCATCATGATGATGCGGACAGCATCACGATCATGCGGACAGCACCACCATGATGCGGACAGCATCATGGTGATGCGAACAGCATCATGGTAATGGTAAAATTGAAAAGGCAGCATCATGATGATACCACAGCCACGAATCTTCTCGCGACAGCGTAGTGAAATTCAGCATCATCCTGATGTTGGCAGCAATCATGGCGCCACCACACCCACGAACCA